CCCCCCCCCCCCCCCCCTTCATCTCCATGTCTTTCTTTAATGACATCTTTAAATTCAAAAATATAATTGCATTTGATTGCTCGCAGTGTCCATGTCAGTACTTGCACAGCCATATTAAATATGCCAGCGGGGGAATTCATTACACATTATTTATCTTTAATTACCTGAGACAGCCCAGCTTTGAGGGTTCAACCCAGAAATTGTCCACCATGTCACTCGCACCTACCAGATGGTGCTAGCAGTCTTGTGCCTTAGACCAGCCTTTCTCAACCTTAGTGTGCCTTCTGGCTTCTTCTTCAGGGGTGCCTAAAAAATGTTGTAGTGGGACTGTGATGTGAAGGGGAATGAAGACCGATGTGAAGGGGGCTTCTGATGTAAAATAGGGGGGAGCTCTAATATGAAAGTGTGGCTTCTGATGTGAGAGGGGGGGCAGCAGAGGGGGGCTACTTATGCAAATAGTGACTCTCATGTAAAGGGGGATCTTAATTAGAAGGGACAAATCCACAGTCGTGTGTGTTTTTTGTGTGAGGTTCCCCTTAAAAGCCATGACATTGTAGACTGGGGTGCCTTGAGACTTTGCATATTTTTAAAGCAGTGGTCTCAAAGTACCGGCCCGCAGCCAGCTCACAGGTCTGGTACTCGGTCACGGACCGCGTGCGAGAGCAGCTACACGGTCTGCATCTCTGTCGGATGCAGACAGAGCTGCTTCTGTGCCTGCATTCGGATCCTTTCGGCCAGCGTCTTCACTAAACGCTGCCCGAAAGTATTAGATTAGTAAGGTCTGCAGCAGACCTTACTAATCGCCGCTAGATCACCAGGGATCGATGATTGTGGCTCACAGCAACCAGGTAAGCAGGAGAGGGGGCTGTGTATTTAATTTACATGTTGGTGGGAATTATATTTCTGTGTTCCAGTTATAAAGAACACCACCACTCTGCAATATGTACATATTTCAATTTTAAAAAAAAAAGTCTACTATGAAAATCCATTTAGGGGTCCCCGTGGTGTAAAGATGACCATAAAAATGTCCATTGATCATTCACCTGAACAATTGATGTCAAATATCTTTGTAATATTGCTGTGCTGGCACCCCAGGCACTGGCTTAATAGAAGGTGATTCATTCCAGAGGCAAATCCAGACCGAGCAATGGGCTCTTTCAGCCAGCCAGGAAGTACACATTACTTTCTCACAATATTGTACACTACTGGGCCATGTGTACTCTTTGAGCTCAGTTGCTCAATGTGATTGTTACACAAGGACCTTACAAACTGCCATCATTCCAGTTGTATTTAAATACTAAGCAGCAAGTAAAAGGCTACTTTTACCTTCTGACTGTGTCTTTATGTTACACCCATGTTTAGGGTTTAAAATGAAACCTGTTCAGATCGCAACCCCCTCCCGCTTCCCACTTATCTGAATTGTGGGGTTCTCCCCGCAGGCTTGTTGACATGTTTGGATGCGGCGTGGCTGTGCGTGGCTCCACCCACACGTGCAGAGACCAAGAAAAGTCCCCAGAACACCAATGATTCCCAGTCAAAACACGGTTATTGATTCGGCATTTGTCTATCAATGCATGCTGTTTTTTTCACTTGTTATCACACGGTTAGCCTAATGATCCCGAAAATCACTTCTTTTTGTGATACCATGAACATTTAAGCGTCAATAAAGACGCTTTGATTAGGAATCATTGGTCTGCTGGTGACTTTTCTTCTTCTCTGCATGTCTGCAGCGCAATCCACTTGTCACTGCAGCACCCACTGGAAACCATTAGGGATGTGTTGGTCAGGAGTGCAATGGGGCATGTATACATATAAGCTTCACCCACACCAGCCATGTCATTCATTCACAGAGCCGTCCACAGGATCTGTGAATGGAGAAAATACAAGTCTCATCAGCCACTGCAGCAGAGGGACTTAATTAGGGCTGCAGCTAACGGTTATTTTCCTAAGCGATTAGTTGCCCGATTATTTTTTCGCACTGCAAGGGTTAAGTGATTGTTTTTGTCTAAATCACCACATTCTATACACAGTGTATAGGCGTAAGGCACATTCCAATGCTGCCGTGTAAGATGAGACAGGCTGCAGGGCCGATTCAAACCATCTGCGTTGGAGCAGCGCTGGTCATTGTTTGCAGCACAGCTCCAAAAGCAAGACAAGGTAATCTGCATTGTCACGGATGGGTTGCATTCACAGCAACGTGTTGCCGTAGGAACGTGGCGGTGTGCACTGAAAAAAAGTAAGGCTTGCCCTCCTTTTTTTCAACGTAGTGGGATGCGACGCAGTACAACTGTCTCGGACCTTTCTGTGCCCATAAAACTAAATGAAATGTCACTTATGACATTTTTAATAAAGTTCTAACAAAAAAAAAAGTACACAGCACTTTGGCACTGTGTTGGGGCACAACACACGAGTATGATGAGCTCAGTGTCTGGTGTGAATGGGTCCTAAGAGAGACCGGAGAAGCAAGGATCAGTTCGGGCAGGGAATAACTTTTAACATCTAGACAA